AGCAGCTAAACATCTGAATGTATATTTGCAGATCGATGTTATGTAATCACTTTTAAAAGTAGCTTAGTGTTGCTTTTTATGTAAAATTTTAACTTAATAGAAAAATAAGGGAGTAAGTGATTTTACACAGATTTACACTACATTTACTTTGATTAACCTCCTTGTTTACAAATGGAATGAAAATGAAAGACCTTATTGTGTAGTATCTCTTTGGTCGTCTAACATCAGAACCTAACAGATCGGACCAATAATATAATATGATATTCGACTTTTTACACTCAACGGATAATCTGTCGCGTACTAAATAACGCATACTTCCGTGAAACGCTTGACGAACTTGACAGTTATATTTATGTATTTTATGCAATTTATGTATCCATACTGAAATAGCCATGGAATAGTTTTCATCCCAGAAATAATTTCATAAAGTGTTAAAAAATAGCAAAAGCTGACAACGAAAAGTCTGAAGGTAGGTTTGTATAAGTATTAATATGGGTGCCTCATTGTCCAACTGTCCAACGCAGACAGTTATAAAACAACCGTACACTAGACTAGACCTTAATTACATATATATTCGCACCTATAATCATTTGAATTACTGAATTGGCCATAGACAATATTCAAATACAGTAGTTGAAAATAGAACATCACCGTTTTAGCTATGACTGTCAAGATATGGCATTAGAGTTCTAATTTCACGATTAGATTTTAATAAATATTATCTACTATACATTTGGTTAAGTTTCCATATTACTTTAGAAGATGGAAAAACTTGCTGCCACTAAAGAGTAGCTGCTCTTGCCTAGACTTTTCTTCAACAATTTGAGACCGAAGGTCTGCTGGAGATTACTTTGACTAGGTCAGGGTATTATCATGATTATTTTACTGTGAAGGCTGTCAGACTTTGGATTGCCAAATATGTTGCTATTTTCCAGACGAAATTGCATGAACATTGTTAGGTTAGGTTAGACATTTTCACCTGGGACTTATTTTAAGATACCAGGTACCGGACCAAGAGAGAGGGTAATACGGGAAAAAAAAGGTTAGGTTAGACATATCTTTGGTATTATATAAATATAGTTGATTATAATATATATGTATGTATTACATTAATGGTATATTGTGAGTATATATAATGTTGTATTTGAAAAATATAACAGCTTTTCATATTTTACTGTTGGCACCCTACCACTTCCTCCGAGTATTCTTTGCCACAAGAGTCGTCTGAAAGATATCTCTTAGCGATAAGACCGCCTTTGCCTATTCTAGAGTAAAAAAAAATCGAATATTTACTTTTTGTTAAGTTTATGACCAATAAAGAGTTATATATCTATCTACTTTTATATCTCTACATTCAAAAGTAGGTACTTCGACAAATTTACCAATATCTCCAATAGGGATGAAGACAATTTTTTTGTACGTCAGATGAATTGTAGAAAAATGTTAAAAACGTATTTTTTTATTTTTCGTAATTATTAAATGATGGCGATACATTGAGTTTAAATGTCACATGACGTCATGCTTTTGTACATTTTCTACTCAACTGTGACGTAGCGAGCCCCACTCCTTAACTTATATGCCTGTTATCTAAGCTATTTCTTATTAAATTGAAGTAAAAAAGACGTATCTAATATTTTTCTGTTATCTGACTGACGGACTAAATAGATTTCTTTTACGCTGTCGTCATCCCTGTGACAGAGTTTTTCTCAAATTGCAGAGTATTAATATTAATCCATAATATAATTTCGAATATAAGTTTACGTCGAGCAATAACGATAATATTGTTTAACAGTGACACTTCTTCACTTTCACACACAAACAAACACAATCTTTCACATTTATTATAATTAAAAATATACTACTAAATGTATATTCACTGTGTCGTCTTCACATTATAATGTCACACTCGACAGACCATAAACATTTCCGCATGGTGATTTGGACGCAAACTCCGTGTGTGTCTTAGTTTTGAAGGTTTCTTTTTCCTTCGATAGATTTAGATTTAGACTTAGACGTAAACTTATATTATTTTCAAGTTTGTTTTTGAGAAAAACGTTTTGTTTCTCTGTTAAATGGCGCCAACATACTAAACAACTAACAACAAGATTTTTTTAATCGTGTTTCGAGAAACAAGCAAAGGCAGTTGAGTTCATCCACGTAGATATTCATAATAAATGTATATATCTAATATGTAAGTTTAACAGTTAAATATAATTCAATGTTTATTCTCTTAACGTCTTCTAATATATAACAGTCACCGGTTACCCCCAAGGGACAAAACCTGCTTGAAGTCACTTTCCATTTTCTTTATAGACCATTTAATTGTTTAGGATATCGATCTGAATACTAATCTAAACTTGTACCTACGTAGTACTTACTTCCGTACGTTATACTTAAAATATCTGTGGTCGGTCATATATAATATTGTAATATAACGAGTATTAAAAATTTCGATTTCATTTTGAATGAGTATTTATCTAGAAAGATTTAGTTTTATAGTTTGGGAATGTACCTTCTTCTTATGGTACTGTCTTCTTACAAAAATTGGCGATCATCAAACCCAACCGCCAGTAATGTGGTGCTGATATGAAACCATTAACATATAAAATATACATTTTAATTATACTAAGATGTCCTATTAATTTCAAAGGAGACAAAAAAATAATTAATCATAAGATGTAGCAACGTTCCTTTTCAACACTTGTTCAAATAACTCATAACCTAAATGGGGTTCGTATTAAAACCGTTCTCTTTTTAATCTATTTGATCAGTTGTATTGCGCAATTTAGCCAACATAATCGGCTTAAAGAGACCACCACTTGTGTTTCAACATTAATAAATGCCAACCAAAAAAAATAGACACCAAACCAATTTGGAATTCGAAGACATTAATGTCGAGAATGCCGGCTGTATATTTTGTTAAACTTAAGCGCCGTATCTCTTGAGGAACTCAATGGCGTGGTGTTTAGCTTTCTATCTATGATTCAGAAGTAAGGCAACTTTTACAAAGGCTGGCCTTAAGATAGGTAACGAAAAATATATTGTCTAGAGCTACTCCGTGATTTTTCGCCTCCCTTATTTGGAAGGCATGTCTCCCTGCAGTGGGTACATGACTGGTTATGATGATCTCTTAAAAGCTTTATCTAAAAAAGCTTTAACAGACTTAATAAGATAAATTAACAAGCATAATACTACATACCTAAAGTATGTAAAAAATGTTGTTTGAAAGAACGTCTGCAGGGCAACCGCCTTACTCTCTAGCCATTATTCTAGCCATAGGAGACGACATCTAGCCGATGTTATGATTGTATTTCGTTTCTTTTTACTAATTTGGCGTGTACTTTAGTAACGACGAACGAACGGTGAAGAATGATGAGTATGACTTTCATAACAGTTTTACCAACTTATATATCCCAAATTTATCGACCAAAAGACATCAACGTAGTAACATGAAACGAAAAATCGTCATAAACTATGGCTAGCATCATGGCTAGCCGGTTAGGTAATAGAAGCTCTGGACTAATTTGTCATTATTTTGTAATATCGTAAGCAACACTTTTCTCTATTTCATTGTTGGTATAAAGCAGATTAATAATACGATATTTTAGCACTGACTTCGACTCTCACTATCATTTGGTAACATAAAACCTTTTCCGTCATTGTTATATCTATTGGCTGTGTTAAAACCTTTCACAAATCACATTCAAGAGAATGCGACCATAGCTAATATCGATGAGTAGTAACTCAGCTACGTATATTTGTAAGTTGTTGCCATATTGTTGTAAAAAGATTCCATAAATTTATGTATTTAGACCATAGTAGATATAAGGGGTAAATCCATTGGGAAAATTATTATTATTTGGTTTATCTATGAGAAATACCATGACATGTTTTATATTAGTGAAGTGAAGAGCTAGTGGAATGCGACTGTATATAAAATATACAATATAGTTCACTAGTATGACACAACGAAACGATGACGATTATAACTATTTTAAACATCAAAGATTATGAAAGAATGACAGTAATTTAAAACTATATAAAAATAAAAAGGTAAAAAGGTTGGCAACAATAACAAAAAATAATATCTTCTGTAATTTATGTTTTTATTTTCATAAAAAAGTTCGTGTTAGTTCGAGGTTATAAAGATCCTTGAAGTTTTTGAGGCAACCGAAAGAAATAGGTACAATGAAGTCCGCAGAAAGGAGGTGATACGTTTGCAATCCGCACTCTCTAATTCACGAAACATTTTTGATATTTATGTTGTGACCCAAGCACTGTATAATTAAATTTAAATAATATAATAACACCACTTTAAACAATAAACTATTGTTTGCACCAGAAATTCTATAACAAATTGTTTTAAATCAAATAGCTTGCAAAAGCTACATAAAGTCATAAGAATTGTTTAATATTATACAAAGTTTATATTTATATATGTTTAAAGCTATATTACACAATACTATAATTTTTTTTGAAATGTATGTATTTTTAACAAAAATCTTATAATATTTGATGAGTTACTCCACTTCATATCAACTATGTTAAGACATACGCAACCTTGCTATAATATAAATTTGTTACTTATTTATTTGACGCTTATTTCTATAGTTGCAAAATTATGACTTTATTTTAAAAGTATACGTCACAAAATAAAATATATTCAATTAAAAACTTATAAAACTGCTTTAGATTTAGTTTGCTATAAGCTTTCTGCATATATCCTATTCTCTTAGTTAACACATGATTTTCCCTTAGCTATATTACAAAATACTAGTAGGCCCGTATCTATGATATTTTCCAACCGGGACAGAAACTTGATAAAGCACCAAAAGTTTGAGTTAAAAAATCAAAATTCGGTTTGATTTTTGACTACTTTGGTTTTTACTCAATACGAATAAAATTTAGTGAGCATAGGATTTAAAGTTAGAAGAATAATCATTATTCTGTTAACCCGGATTATTTATTTATTTCTGTATGTTATTTTTCTTTTCTTTCAGACTGATAAAATGAAGCATATACTAATACTGGTATCATTGCTGGTAACAGCGAGAAGTAAGCAGCTACCAGTGAAAGGTAAGTCGATACTTTTAGTAACGTAATGTGTATATAACTCTTTCATAATAATTGAGTAATGTAAACTAAAAAACCTACTAAAGCTCTGACAAGATCGTAGCCAAGTGGTTTGCACGCCAGTTTCAAGGTATTGCTATTTCTAAAGTCCGATTCCCGATAAGATCAATCTTTCTATATTTGTTTCTGATGTGAGTGTTGTGTTACCGTCGTTATTTATTAGCTACTTAATTTGGAATCTAAGCAATGTATGAGAAGTTGTCTAACATTTTAATAAAATAAAAAATTAACACGATCTTTTGACAATCGAAACCATATTTTTGATGAAAATAGTTATGTTTTCACCCATTAGGGCTTAATGTAAGTTTTTTGACGTTAACGTTCGTTCGCCGTCGATCATGAGCGCGTTAATATATTAGTATGAAAACCGGCACAGCCAGCGCCCCTATGCAACTACCTATACGCCACTACCAAGAACTGAAATTCTCCATACAAATGTTTAATTCTTAACTACACTTACCACTACGTTCATTATGAGCCTCGAACTCGACGTCAAGCGCTACGCTTTTGTGACAGCGGTAATGAAATAAAACCTTTCTTAACTATTAGCTTTCGCCTGCATAATCCTGTATTATACCTACTTAAAAACCTTTTTCTTGAATTATCCTATATGTTGTTGAAACTGCATTAAAATTCATTTTGTAGTTAAAAAGATTTCAACGCACAGACAGCGAGAATCGAGTTTTTTTTTACAATATATTGTATTTGCAATAGGTTTCATTTGATTGAACCTTATTTCTATGACAGCGTTTGACAAGTTCGAGGCTGATTTTAAAACAGAAAATCACGGCAGGAATAAATATTATTTTGAAAAGCTTCTTAGTTATTATTATAAAAATTTTAAGCTCAAAGCATATGAGACAATGGTGCCAATACTCTTATACCGCTCTCTAAAAACTAACTTGAAAAAATCCATTTCATTTTGAATAGATTTAAACGTTGTTTCGTATTCACCTGTAATCAAATAAATATAACTATACTTCTTTATACTTCGTTTTTTATGCTGCTCAGCTTATTCGCAAATCGAACGCTAGCTACAGCGCCATGAATATCTCAGATAGCAATAAAACTGTCGAAATCAAGTATTCTGTGGTTTATATTTAGCCCTGGGACTATTCGAAGGATGCGTCGAGATGTCGTGAGTCAATGACCCGTGACCAGCGTCCGCGCATGCATGCTGCAGTCTACATTGAAAAAATTATGTCCAACTTAGTTTACTTATAAATAGGGATCCGATTAAGATTCCTTGACAATAATTATATAATTTTATTAGTATAAAATTTCTAAACATTAACAATTAAGTTAATGAATAATACATTGTCTATCTATAGTATTCTTTAAAGTAAGTTATTTTTTCTACTTGAATTTGATTTAGTTTTTATTATTTTACGGGCTTACCTACATGGCATAATTTTAATATTTTATTAGATATGGTTCTCGCGTTAAGTTTACAAATAAGGTTTGTCTAAAATGGATGACAATAAAGATATCGACTAGGTTTTCAATTGATATAATAAAACCTGTTCCTGATTTACTGAAACAAAATTAAATTAGCAAAAAATATCAACTCTTCAATTCTCAGCATCAGATTTTTACTTGGCGATTTAAAGATTAATGTATGTAGTTTGGAGGGTATTAACGATTATAAATTCGGCGCTGTACTTGAATAAAAGAAAAACAGTAAAAAGTTAAAAGGTATTCAACCTCCTTGGTCGGCAACAAAAATAAATTTATCATAGTCTATAACTTCTTGGAACAACATGTAATTTAAAAATAAAAAGCCGCGATATGAGATATAATTCACGTGAGTTCAAATTAAATTGGAGAGTAGATTTAACTTTTAACAATGAATTATATTCAATAGACACACCTACCACAACATTAGCAACAGCAACAGAAGAGGACACAACACCATGGCCAGGCGCAGTAGCACCCCTGGATAAGCTGGCGGTGGCGTGCGAACGGGACAGCATGCACATCACCGTGACACTCGCACAGACGCAACCATACGAATCTAACAGGTAACTTGATTAACTAATAAAATACCTATTTGATAAGTCTTATCTTAAAATCTGTAAAATTTAAAAGCCAGTCTTTGGTTTCTCCTAACACAGATTACATCTCTGGTAGAATCTAGAGACCATAAAAACTTTGTTATGATATTATTTCTATGTCAAATTAAATAATGCATCGTGTTGTAATATTTTTATGACGCATCCAATAATAAGGTATTTATTTCGAAAATTTGCTTTTGATGAATACGTTCTGTATTCCATGTTGAATCGACAGGATATAGAATATGATATCTAGTAGTTATTAAAATTCAATAAAGGTAAATTAAATCAATTTTGTACTGACTGCAAGATAAATTGTGCGAGTGTTCGCACTGACTGATTTTCTTCTCAGTACTGACTAAATTTGCAACCCGTTAGAATAGCTTTTTAACAATAAAAGCGCTTTTAGAGAATTTAGAATATCTTTCAGTATCCACAAGACGATAATTTCAGTTTTTTTTCGGCCATTTATACCATTACTATTTTATTACACCAATTTCAAAGAAACGTTTGATGAATATAAATGTTTAATAGCTTAACATATATAGTATTGGTCCAAGAAAATAACGACAGCCTTGTGTAAACGTTTTTGGAGCTTGTTAACTTTGTACGTATATGGAGCATACAGCCTCATTATATCATAAACATGTTTGCCTTCACGTGCATTTATTTTGAGAGCAAACTTAGACCGCGTTGAACACATATATTTCTTATGCGATTTTTATCTATACTAATATAATAAAGAAGAAAGAGTTTATTGTTTATTACTGAAACTACTGACCTATTTTAAAAATCGCCTACGGGAAGCTTCATACGCGGTTGACGTAGACTATAATTTACGTGGGCAAAGCCGCGGGATAAAAGCTAGTATGCTATAATTTGAACGTGAAAGTGACGTTGACAACAAAAAATATTATAATTTCTTTTTTTAATACAAATATATTCTGCCAGACTTCTTTAAAGCATTTGAGTATATTTCATTGGTAAATCATATTTAATTTATATTATATTAAACATGGTATACAGTTTTATTGATTGTCAACGATGATTTGGGTTTATTTTCTTTAATTCTATCGAGATTTGTTGTCATAGTTAAAATAAATAAAAAGTATATTCAAATTTCTTTAAATCATTTTTGAATCGTCAACATTTTTTAAACTACTACGCGATCAACATATCAATTCTGCTATTGATAACGTAATAATCACATCTCAATAGAATTACAACTACTATGGCGACAGATATAATAAGTATAATAATATTGGACTTCAGCAGGGCGACTCTGTAAAAATCCGAACCCGAATTCGAATTCACTCATGTGCCTGTATTCACGTCAATTAGTGAAAAAAATCTATTGATTCCATTTTTGTATAAAAATAGAAACCAACATTTATTAATTAAGTATACATGTTTCAGATATTCTATTCCTATATAATTTGAAACTCACTTCACTTAGGTCACGAAACATTACCATTTCAAGATTGAGCGGATGCCGCTTTTTGGAGTGAAATCGGACACCTGAGTGGATTCGAATTTGGGTTTGAATTTTTACAGAATTGCAGGGCTGGTAGATAAAATATAGGTTGTTGTGATTCTAGTGACATGCCATTATTACGTAAACATTATCAGAATTGATTTGCAGGATGTATTTTCACTGATAAGAAGAAAAGCAAAAGAGACTCGCTCTAATAGAAGTAACAAAGTAAACAAAGACTACATCATTAGTAAATCAATAATTACAATAATTATAAATTAAGTGCATCTGAATGACGGTCTTGTTAAAAGCATATTATAAAACGAGAGTGCTTGGAGTTAAGGTATTCCAGCAATTAGATAGGTGATTTCTTCCAAACTCACTTATTTCAAAATTATCGTTTAGCCTATTGTGATTTAAATTTTTCAAAAATCAGATAAAATATTGTGGCTTCATAAATTTATATTTATATTGTTCTGGTAAGGATATGTTTTTTGTAAATGTCGTTACTTTATTAGAGCTGATGAGTTTCTTGGTCGTTCTTCTCATTAGCCAAAAGACTTCCTGAACGGTGGTAGATAAAAATGTTGGACGATTCAAAAGTACTTACTTTAAATCAGTTTATTTGAATAAATATATTTTGACTTTGACTTAAATAAAATCAAAGTGAGCAAAAATATATATATATATTAGCAAGTAAATCGATGAGCTTAGGTAGGTGTTACCCCCATTCTAGCGATGTTAAGCTCATATCCTTTAGTTTTTCTAGTCTACTTGAAATGTATGACTTGGGATGTGTGTCATATTTTTAAAGATTAAAATAATCTCTGTATCTCAGTGGAGTTTAATAGTGAATTCCACGTCGAATATAAAATATAAATGATATTACATTGAAAACAAAATAAACTCTATTTTAGTATTTTGAGTACCTATGTACTCAAACTAAAATAAGGCTTATTGCAATTATGCAAAATATGTATAAACCTATAATACCTACATATCAGATTTTGATTAAACATTATTTTGCTACAGTGTATTCGATGCGTTCAATGGCATTGTCTACCCAGCTGGTCTGGGCAGCAATTCTTCATGTCTTCGAGAATACGAAAACGCGAGGGGTGACCTGCAGTATACTTTGCCTCTTATGGGCTGTAACACCATGGCCACAGATAACGTGAGTACCTAAGTGCTTAATAAATTTATACTACTCAAATTTCAAGTAAAGCATAACAGTTAAATGAAACAAGATGGTGATAATATGTAAATAAGCCTGCGCAGGACACTTTTAATAAGCAATTGATAACTATATATAGACAACCTTTTTTATATTTTATTTTATAGATATACATGAAATATATCTAAAAAATATATATAAACAAGTAACATTCATATAATAAGTTAAAATCTAAAAATAAATTTAATTATCAAAATTTCCCGCGAAAACGCCAACTTCTGTCATGGCGTCACTATGACGTCACGCCCCTCTTAAACTAATATCATAAGGTTTCATTCACTTAGTTATGATATGAGTAAAAGGGGCGTGAAGTCACTGGCTGTTTGCGTTCACGTGGCATCGTTTATAAAATATTTGTTTTTATATAACATAATAATGTTTTTATATAACGTAACATAGTTAATTAAACAATATTGTAAATATAATATGCAGAAAAGTGTGATTTATGCTTATTACACTACTACCTGAACTACTACTGCGTACTACTACATGAAAATAAAATAATATGTATTTATTCCCGTTTACTGTCTACACTCGTATTGCAACTCCTATTAATATTATAAATGCGAAAATTAATGAGAATAGATGTATGTATGTTCGTTAATCTTTCACGAAAAATCTACTGAACGGATTAGGATGATATTTGATATAAGGATATTCTAAGCTTGGATTTATCTCACTTAACGATTCTCCCTGGGGAATGAAAATACTATCAAGTCATCGTGTTTAGCATGAGGGGGGCGCTGCTGGTAAAATACTTAATTATTTATCTTTGACCACGCAAGAGTACGTATTAGAATAATGTTGAAATTGTATTTGTAGAAAGAGGTGAAATGTTATGTAGTGTGACTCCTATATCATTTTAGGTAATATGTTTAATGGAACGTAGTTGTCACGAAAAATCTGAAAGTTAACCATGACATAGAACGTGATAGGGGCATGTTGAGGTCACAGGAAACATGTTGGTCAGCTTGACATGGTATTACCTGTGTTGTGTTTAGTATAGATTCCTTTGTTCATCGCATTTTCCTATGTTTGCTTTCACGCTTGCATGTCAGAGGCATAAAAAAGTTTATGAAAAGAACCTGGGAACAACATCAATGGTGTCGATTTTACTACACACCGTTACATGATTATAGCATCGAATATAAAAACTATTTTTAGTACGTCAGAGTTTCTAAGAGCGCATAGGTTAGAAACCGTAAAGCTTGTGCTGATATCCCACCTTTTTTTCAGACTTAAGTTTTTATAGTGTTATTCTGTTCGATCGAATAAAACCTGTTATTTTAATTTATTTCAATTGTTTTTTAATTCCAGTACCGAAGGGAACTGGCCTTTACATTGCAATTAAATAAATCCTACTTCAAAATATTTTATTTCATTGTACCCATTGCTTCGACTTTACTGCTGTGTTTTTACAAAATATCATGTGGCCAAAAGCAAACCTATTCCAAATAGATAACAAAATCACGTTTTTTCGGTTTAGTCTATTCAAGTTTCCAAGCCATCGATTGGATCCATAATCGAACAGTTTTGTGATACAGTATTCGTCACACGTGTTTCCTTCTACATTCTGTTGCGTAACGTCTGTCAGTCTGTCACGCGGGCGAACGGCCATTGCACTTAACTGTGTGACAAGTGATTTATACTAGAAAAATACAGTTTCATTCTTAAACTGAATAAATAGTTATATTGAAACCATTAGTACAGGTAAAAATATATGTAACTGAAAAAAAAATCCCGTTTAAATAAGAGAAACTTTTTTCAGTGTAGCATTTTGAATGCAAAATTAATCAAATATAATAAAAAATATTCCCAAAAATAGTGACAAGAGTTGGTGTTTTGACTAATTTATCTTCCAATTGTAATGGAAACTTAATGGAGCAAAAAATCTTGAAAAAGAAAACAATAGACGATGTCAAAAAAACGTTAGTCAAATTGATAAATTTAGGAATCTCAGGTAATCTCAATAAATAGTAAAAAGTTGAGTTAGTGTTACACAATCACCTCTTTGTCCCTCGAAAAACTCGAAATAATGCGATTCTATAAAGAGCTAGGCGTGCCGTTGAACGACTGTCTTAACTAATTGGATGCGACATATATTCTGCGGCTGTTTTTTTAGCTGAATTATCATAATGACTTTTAGAAATGTCGAATAAATAATTCCAACTTCTTGTAAATTACACAAGTTGTTATATTTTCTTTATTTATTCCCTTTAGACATTTTGCTCATTGTCCTGTCACTCACAGTCATCCGCTCACACGTAAAAACATGTCATGCATGAACAGATTTTTTTTTAATTTTGCAACACCTGAAAATATTCACTTTGACAGTACAGTCCGTTTGTACAGCAAATAGTTCATATTCATTGAATCATTAAAATGAAACTGACTTATTTTAGTTTCTGACTTAGTATTGTTATGTCAAGATCTGCGATTGAGTTTAGTCGTGGGTTTGAAAATAATTACAGGTATTTCTAGAAATAAGTTCGATTATGATGATTAATCACTACATAGTATAAAACAAAGTTGCTTTCTCTGTCCCTATTAGGGATATAGGTATGTATGTATGATTAAATATTTAAAACTACGCAACGGAGTTTTTTTGAGGATTTTTTTTCATAGATAGGGTGATTCAAAAGGAAGGTTTTTATGTATAATACTAGACCACGCGGGCGAAGCCGCTGGCGGAATATATTAATATAAAAAAACAACTAACAATAAAAATTGTGTTACAATGTTAAAATTGACAGAGTTATAGTTATAAATTTCGAATTTAACGAAATGATAAATAAACTTCTTGAGAAATAGACACGATGAAAAAAAAGGTTAAATACAGTAATTGAATTCAGTAAAAATATTATTATCATATGTAATAATATTTTCTATCAAAAATAATTCAACAATCGTTATAAATAAAAGATAAAAACATACAAGTTAAAAATATTTCGGGTAACGTTTTGTATTTAATATCCAAAATGTGTTTAAAGAACATGTATTCACGACGTTACGAATCGTGATTCAGAAACTAGCGGCTGTATAGTTACTTCCGACGTTCGAACCGTAATAGGCAACTATAATTAACTTATAGCGGTGATGTCACGGAAAAACCATTCTGTTCATTCTTCAACAAATAAAAAAGAATAAACACGACCACACTTAAAAACATTTAACAAAGAAGACTGGTACAACTTGAGTATAAGTTTTTCAAACCCAGTAATAATTTAGTAGTATTATTTCGTTTATTTATTAAAATACCTCTCGAATTATAATTTTGAACTATAAATTATCATTACTTTTGCAGGCACCAATCTCACTCATAGATAAACTATCAGCGAAAGAAAACATAAAACCTTTTTTTATTTCTTACATCTAGCCACATTAAATTGGCAGAATTTTACGTATCAGTTAACTGAGTCGTTAAGAAAAAAGAATAATTAACATTTTAACTTAATTGCATTTGTTATTATTAAAAAAATAATAATAATAAATAGATGCAGTGCATAAATGGCACATACTGCTGTTGGACTAAGATAAAATTGCAATAAGTTTGAAATACAAAAGTCTATGCAATTGTTTATATTTTATTTTTTGGTACCCACGTATAGAGAAAACTGAAAAATCCACCAGTCCCAGGTTATCAGTAATTTTTATAAGCTAAAATAATATTGTAAATGCATAATTAAAAAATATATATATTATCTAAGTTTGTATCGACAATACTAAGTACTTACGTAATTTGATTTGACATTCTAATAAATAATAAATTCCAGAATTAAAATCGATCAAATGCACATCAACATGAAGTCTTTTAAGAGGTCACTTTACTCTTAAGAGGCTGACCTCGATAATTTTTTCATAACAGTTGAAAGGCGGACACAAGTGAATCACATTAAGTAAATCGCTACAACGCAACAAATCAACATATATCTTCATTTGACCTTATTAGTAACACAATGGCAACCTGTCTACCACATTTGTCTACTGAATGAATCTTCCAAACTAATATATATAAATAAAATTATTGATAAGTAGATACAAATTAATATAGAGTTAAAGTAAAACTTGTGTTACTCCATAATTACCAATAACTTCTTGACATTAGTCAAGTTACAAAAGGATATAGTTCTCATAAAATTCTTGCTTTTTATTCTTTGGAAACAATTTTGAAATTGGAAGAGCATTCACCCTGATAACGAATGGTAGCTAATTTGAGTTAACACTGGTAGCAGAGATAAAAGAAAATATTGGTTAGATTAAAAACTTTGACAATACAGTAGAAACTGTTTTGTTTTGTTTTAATTTTTAAATTTCGAGTCTGTCGCATCAATTTCTGGTTTGTTGGATACAACTCGCAGAAGAACAAAGACTCTCCTATCAAATTAATAGTAATCGGAGAGATCGACTATACTCGTCATTACCAAAGAGCAGGTTACTACTACTGTGTTACTATCATACAAAATATGAACGTGGGTGTCTTATAACGAAATGTCACTTTACATAACGTTCGGATCGCTTGCATTATGTTTTCCTTTTGAGAAATGTCAATGTTTATTACGTAGTTGCATTCGAAATGGCGACTTTTAATAAACTGAAGTGTGATGACTATAATTAAGTCTTCATCATTAGCCTACTAATGTCTCTACCGCTAGGTCACAGGCGTTCTCTATGACTGGGACTGAATAGAATCAAATTTCCAAAGCCCACGATGTGGGCCCTTTGCGCATTTATTGGTATTAACGACTATATATACAACCGGGATCGACGGCTTAACTTGCCTTTAGAAGCACAGACCAAATTTTTGATCACCCGTTCTATATTAATTTACGCATCGCAGGCAGTCCGCCATTGCGCCATCAAGTTTCTCAACAGACTTACTTTCAACTTATCTATTTATTAATAAAAAAAAAATCAAAAGCAACTAAGGCCGTCTTGTATGT